ATCGACGCAGGAACAACATTCAGGCACCATGGGCACCATCTGCAACTGCATTCAATCTTGGGGCTTGAATCGAGTATGCCTCGGGTAATGCGATTGACGATTTCCTTCGCTTGGGCATCTGTCGGTTGACCACTCTGGACCTTTTGCAACGCCAACGAAACATTGTTGCGGAGCGTGAAGGAATCTGGAGGTCGTCTTTGTACTGCTCGGCGATCTTCATGATGTACCTTCCACTGGCCCGCACGCATTCTTCTCCATCCATTGTTTCACACACATACTCATCCACCAATGAGGGTGACTGGATCCTTGGGCCCATTCCTCGCGCCCCATCCAGCTCGAAGATCGCCTGGATCGCGTCGCAATGAAACTTTTCATAAGGATCACGCCATTGGAGGCGAGACGAGCTCCCATCTCCTTGAGGATAGTTATGGGCACATAGATTACCATCCCTTTCTCTCCCTCATTCGTGAACCTGATTGTGAACGGGGATCTGTAGCGCGATCCCACGGAGCAAATGCAGAAAAATGTATATCTGATCTCCTGCGACGTGGTCCTCCTGGTAGCAAACCTTGCCTCGCTATCCATATGAGGTTATAGCGACTTGTGATGTGCCAAGCACCCCCCACTGCATCCATCACCTTTTCTGTAATCGGTATGGTCATGAGTTCCAGGTCTACCGATCCGTTTGAGTGGCCTGAGACGCACCTAACCGCGAGGGGTCTAACCAATCCCGCGTAAGGATACGCCTTTGCAGTTGCAACAGTGTTGACTCTCACCGGCTTGACCAATGTCTTCAATAGGGTTGCAAGCTGCTCATCAGTCATCTCAGGATGTAAACGGGCACCAGTGAACTCCATTCTCTTCTTGCTTCTTCCCCAATTCCATAGCTCATTGTCAATGACGAGAGCTATGAGCCACGTCCTGTGGTACATGAGGCAATCCAAACTTGGTTGGGTTCCCATGTTCTCTCTGTCATAGCTAATAGCGTACTTGGGGTCCTTGCGGTGATCATGACCATGGTGGAGCAACTCCTTGTGGATGTCTGCCCAAAAGTCTTATCCTGAATAATTTCGTCAATGTTGGCCCATCCTCCTCTGTCAATGTTGGTCGTATGGTTGCCGCGCAGCCATAAGTGTCTCAACCAGATGGACAGTCGTTTTCCGGCATGGTAGATCTCGTCACCGAAGAACTCACAATTTTGATCACCCCATTTTCCCCAGCAATGATGGGTTTCATCCAAGAATCTGACGCGCCCAGTTTTGTTGTCGATCAATGACGCCACCAGGTTTTGTTTCATTCTTCTGATCAAGGTACTGGGATGTCCCTCCGAAGTCGAGATCGTTCCCCTCACGATTTTCGTTCCTCTGGAATATCGAAACCATCATCTCTAAGGTTTTGAGGCTGCGGACCCTCCCGGTCAGCGGGGGTTTGCCCCTCGTCCAATCCACCTCTCCCTCCGAGTTGACGAAGTGACCTGAGTGGAAAGGTCTCGGCGACGCGTACTCCAGAAATTGAGGGACTTGATTCTTGAGTTGTTGGACATTCGTCATGTTCATTGATTCTGACTCCCGGGACTTACCCAGAGGAGAAATTAACATCTTCCTCCAGATCCAGGAAACGAACGCTCTTCATGACGTCTGACTCATCACTGGACATCTTGTTCGTAGCCATCTTCTTGACAGGACGAGCTTTTGCGCGGGGCTTTGCCTTTGGCACGATGGTCGGAGGTTCTTCGTCCACCTCCATGATTTCGGTTTCATCAATTTCGACGTCTGTAACATCTTGATTCTCTGCATCGGCCGACTGACCCCGGGTGTCATCGACGTTCTCTCCCTGAGTCCCTGAGTGTCCACCTCCATGCCCCCATCGCCAGTCTCAGTCACAGGCGCAACTGCGGTGGCCGAAACCGATTCTGCTGGCAAATTCTCCGGCAGTATGGCCCCTCCTCCCAGCAAGTGGGACAACGCAGTGTACAATGCCTCACTTTCAGATGACCGAGGACATTTGAAATCAGAATGTTGTAATCCTTCTCTGTTTTCGTTCCTTTCACAGCAGAGTAAACAACAATCATCCACTTCAACGAAGTCGATATCAGGAGAAACGACACGGCCATCAATAGGTGAGTTGAACATACCATGGTCCAATAGCGCGAGAAGGATCCCCGTCAACTCCATTTGCTGCATTTTCAAGTCTTCGTAGATGGTCTTTTCATCGGGGTTGTCAGCATTGGAGGCGCGCCCTAAATATCCCAAGCCTTGGCAAAGTGCACAACAGTTGATGCAGTGCGTGCTAGACTGTTTCGTGTACCCCAAATCCGGAGTACTGTTGCTGTCAGCACACTTTTCTTTGCCAGGGGCTGGGATACCCAAGACCCTCTTTTGTTGTTACAATTTGCGCACAAGATCCCCCTCCGGCCGGCTGGCATCATCTCCAGCAATCCAATACGCCTGAGTCACTGGCGTGGCCGTGGGAACCGAGGAAGCCAGGACCTTCCTGATCATGACTTTGGAGTCACTCTCCATGGCGGACTTGGCCCGGGCAACTTCCTCCTCCAGCGTAACAACACGGTCAGCGGTGAGTTCCACATCCCATGTACAATCACCGGCTTGTCTTGCCCACGTCAGAAAGGTGTCGGTGACCGATGCGATGTCCGATGGATCCAGTAACATAAACGCAACAGTAGAAGCCCTGATTATCCAGAGGTCCCACACCGCGTAGGCTTTCGGGACAGTAGAATCTTCAAAAGCAAGCTTCTTACCTCTCAGGACTTTGATTGCTCTTGTGACTTCACGTGAACACTGCAGATACACTGGCTGGTCTTCCGTAACCGCTCAATCGATTGTACCAACTCCAGCACCACCTTGTCTGCACACGCCTTCTTGAGCTCTTCGAACGAGATGAAGATGTGGATACGCCGATTAGCATAGTCATCACTTGCGCCACTTTGTCCTCCACCCTTGCCCGCCTCATCGATCTGACCTTGCACATGCGCAATGACATTGATCATCGATCTGATGGGGTCATCCGGTACGTGTAACCCATGACGAACATAGGGGGCAATCACGATGATATTCGCCCATCCGTTGTCTTCGCAAAAGTACTGCAGGGTCTTGTTCTTGGACTGGGCTAGGTAGAGATCGAGAATCACCAATGTTGGTTCCAAACGAATGTCAACCGCAGTCGGCATATCGGGGAGCTTCAATCTCTTCAGTGCTGTGACCGTCTCATCGGGACGCCCATTAGGATGGGCTCGCGGTACAGCCGCCTCGTCAACGGCAATCATCGACCAAGCCATCACCTCAGGTGGAAACACCCGAGACGTGCCCTTCAGCGCCGTTGCATTCATCGCCATCTCGTAGGTGTCAACGAGCTTGTGGATACCACAATCTGAGGTAACAACATCTCTTGTGGTTGACAGCAGCTCCTTCGAGGGACTAGCCAAAAGCGATGTAAGAATCAAGTTGCGGATATACACAGAGCGTGGCGGAGCCAAGCGGTCACATTGCACCTGTTCTACTTCTCCTCTGAATGGAACGTTGGTTTCCTTATCGACCATGTAGGCGACGTCCCCAACGTTCCCATTTCTCACGACATCGAGGTCAGTCTTGACCTCCAGATGGTGAGTGATGCTCTTTCTGCCGCTTTCACCAGAGCCTTCGTATGCAACACGCAGCTCAAAGGGATCATACTGAAAACAATCTCCTCAATCGTTACCGGAGCGGAACGCACTGTTGCGCGTGGGGTCGTTGAGGAGGAAGGTCCCTGAGGAGCTGAGGGCATTTCGCTTGCCGGCATTGGAGTATCCAAGACGTCCGGAAATTCGTCCTGCCAGTAGTGTAACTGATCCGTCACCGAAGCCGGTCCATTGCCTTTCGCCCCTTTTGCTGCAGTCGGACTCAGTGGTTGATCTTTCAGGAATTTCTTGACGCGTGGCAAGGCTTCCTTGGCTGATGAGTCAGGCTCGATGAACTTCTTGATGTGCTTGGCAATCAATTGCTCCTGAACCGTGGGAAAAATCAGCTTCTTCACACATTGGCTGCCGATGGCATCTTCACTGAGGTCCATATCGCCGTCGAGCAACGGGAAAACCTCAATCGGGTCGTGCTTGTGGAATTTCCTGTGGACCCCATGGGATTGATCTGTCTCTGTTTTGAGGACGTTGCCGTACTCAGAGATCTGCTCCATCAGTCGTCTTTAACGGACAGCGTTGACACCGCCCAAATCGATGGCACTCTGCGCAGAAGCGGTTTGAAACCGAAGCATCTCCCGGGGGAAAGAAAACCACAGCAAAGTGCCCCTGCGTTCGTTGGCTAGAAAAATTCTGATCTGCACCACCTCTTCATCAGGGATAGTGCTGTATCCTGGTCTAACCAAGAGATACACTTTGTCCACATCCACAATTCCATACCCATCAAGAAGGTGTACACCATGCAACACCGTGTGACAGTGTGACCGTACGCGAGACATACTTGATCTGCAATGTCACCGTCCTCACACTCCTTGCGGCGACCCAGCATCAGGATGACGTCCTTGAGCGAGTACTCTTTTCTGCGCATGGCCGTGCCAAGTATCCTCCCACAGCGGCGAAGAGCATCGCGAGAGTGCATCCAAACTGCAAGTCGAGGACGCATTTGGTCGAACGTCATAGGGTTGGTGCTGAGCTGCGTCAACATGGTCTCAACCGGGGAGATGTGACCTTGGACCACGTACCAACAGGTCTCCCTGCAACGGTCGAAGATGACATTGCTAAGCATGCTTCGTGTAATCATTTGATTTCTGTCCAATAATTGTTCCAAAGTTGTCGATGTAGAGGGTCCTAGGGCAGGGTCCCTGATCACTTCGCTAAAGCGATTCCAAAACAGTCTGATCCATTCAAGCGTGAACCCGCGCATGTCCTCAACATTGTTGTTGAACATACATTTCGTCAGGAGATTGTGCTCTCCAACGATCGTCGTGTTGCACTTTGCAACGAAATCCACAGCAGTACCCCCGAGAACTGAGTTCTCAATCGAAATCCTGCCCCACGTTCCATCACACATGTTGCGTAGACCGTCGATGGTTGGGTAGATGAAGTTGGGGTCGGACAAGGTAGGATCAC